AATTTTGTTCAGACAGTGGGGAGATTACATCTCTGTTTATGGAAGATGACTGTGGTGGCCAGGTAGAGAACAGATTGTAGGGGGCAAGACTGGAAGCAGGGGGACCAGGAGGCTGTTGCAGAAATCCAACCAGGAAGTGACAGTGGCTTGAACCTGAGTAGTATTAGTGGGAAGTGAGCTAGGAGGATGAATTTACCAGTATTTAGGAGATAGAATTAGTAATGTTTAGTGTAATATAGAGGGCTTGATAGGCCCCAAAGCTTCCTCATCCACAATACAGGCATTATTTTAGGAATATTGAACAGTTGTATGGGCTGGATACGGAGTGAAGAGGGAAGGAATGAGAGGCAAGAAGAGCCATTAGGGGAACTCCTAGAGGAGGCCATCAGTTTACTAGCTGCTTCCTTTCTCCTGGACCAGCAGTTAGATTGCTAGTTTTGTAGGCCGGCAACAAAATCTCTTGGGGGAGAATTTTAGGTAGATTCATAGGCCCTGATCCTGCACTTTCTGATTTAGTAGCTTTGCCTAGGAACGTACTATTTTATTTCATTTGAAATGAGGTCTCACTGTGTTACCCAAGCTGGACTTGAACTATCAGATTCAAGTGATCCTCGCACCTCAGCCTTCTGAGTAGCTGGGATTACAGGTATATGCCACCACACCCAACTGGAATGTATTTTTTTTTAAGATCCTAGATACTTAATTCTGCAAATGCACATATGGAAGACAATGACCTACAAGCCTTATAATACACCCCATAAGGCACCAGAGTTAAAAAAAGATTGTTCTGCACTTGATGTCCTGTGACCTTGGGGAAGTTAGTTGACTCCTAGGAGTCTCTTGCTTCTGGTAGTTTCTAGGCTTTCCCTTGGCTGCTAGAAAGCACCATTAGTACACCTGACATTTAAACCCTCAGAACTCGCCTCCTGCCATCTTTCTGCCCTTCTCTTTCCCTGCATCAGCTAAAAGAGGAGGTTCATTGATTAGGCTAGCTTTTTCTGAGCACTGCTTAAACCTCTAAACAGTCTGGACCCTGACTCCACCTGGACTCGCTTCTTGTGGATTTCATCTCTGCATTCAACACTGCCTTTTCACTGCTTCCTGGTGATAAGCCTATTGACCTCCAAGGGCCTACCAGAAACTCCTCACTCAGCAAGTCAGGGCATCTGCCTCAGGGACCAGAGCCCACAACTCCTTGAAAGAAGAAAAATGATCAAATAACCCACACTTGATAAAACCCACTTGACAAAGGCCTTGTTGGAAGCCTTCACTCTTTAGCACTGGCTTTTCACCATCTTCTTCAGATTAGATTTGATTTTTTTTCAGTGCTTCTTACTGTTGATTATTACTATTTTTCAAATTGAAAATAGCTTTATTAGTTTTCCTGATACTAAAATAATGCATGCTTAATAGTAAAAAAAATGAACAAAATAATTGAAATCTTATCACTCAGAGATCATTGTTAACATTTTAGTGTGGACTTTCAAGTAATCTCTCTAAGAGAAAAAATCGTACTATTTATATTACACAATATATCATAGATGTCTTCTCAAAGATATTATTTAAATGTTAGTTCTTACTAATATTGTTGAT